GGGGGGATGCATGGGAGTGGGGCTTGAGGCGCCTGATGGGTTGGGGGACATGGGGTCCAGAGAGGTGTGCAGGGCTGGATGGTTCAGCTGCATGTCGGGTGTGGGGAGGCTTGGGGTGCCTGGGGGTGCGGAATATGGGGTATTTGGCAGGTTGGGGAAGGGAAGATTTGGGGTACACTACTGCAATGGGAGGTCTGTGCAGGGCTGGAAGGGAGCTGAAACTGATGTTGGGTCGGGCCGGAGATGGGGATTTAGATATGCCTGGGGGGATGTGGGACCAAGTGGGTGTGAGAGGCAGGGGGTGAGGAAGTGCTGGGAACTTGTCAGGGTGAAGGAGGTAGAGGGAGCTCTAGATTGGCGGTGGAGGGGGCAGGGGGCAGGAGGCCGAAGAGAGGCCTGGCTTTGGGCGGCCTGGATGGGTTACATGGGGAATGCTCTGTGTGTGTGTGTGTGTGAGGGGCCCACAGTGGTTGGATCCAGTGGAGGCTGTGGCTCAGGGAGGGGACACCTCAGCTCCCATGCACACTTCCTCATCCATTCTGACTTCCTCCACCAGCTGGAAAAAGTGACAGGGTGGCTCAGGCATGGGCTCTGTCACCATGGGTGCTTCTGGAGGTGGAGTGCCCTGTGCAGTTACCCTCCCTTTCCTGGATCCCGGGACTGTGCCTGGCTCCCCAGAGTTAACAGTGTGGGGTACAAGGATTATAGTACAAGGATAGCTGTTGAGACGAAAACATCCTAGTGCCCCTACATAAATCCTTGGTGCACCCAGCCTGTGAATGCTGCGTTGAAATATAGTCATCCTAGTTCAGAAAACCTCTATTGGAATCAGCAGAGGGTCAGAAAAGGGCAACAAATGGGTCTGGAATGGCTGTGCTGTGAAGGTTTTTTTTTTTTTATTAAGACTAGATCTTTTCCACTTGGGAGATTACTGGTGTGGAGAAAGTGAATAAAGAAGCCTTTCCATTATGTAAGAACTAGTGTCACTCAATGAAATTCATAGATAGCAGGTTTAAAACAAACAATACTGCTTCACTCAACGCACAGTCAACCTGTGGAACTCCTTGCCAGAGGATGTTGTGAAAACCAGGTCTTTAACAGGGTTTGAAAAAGCACTAAATTCATGGAGGATAGGTCAATCAATGGCTATTAGCTGGGATGGTGTCCCTCAGTTTTGTTTGTTAAAGCAAAATGCAGGACCATATATGGTTGTGACTATTTTCTTCCACTATTTGATCTGAGGAAGTGGGTCTGGCCCACGAAAGCTCATCATCTAATAAACCATCTTGTTAGTCTTTAAAGTGCTACATTGACCTGCATTTTGCTTCAGCTACACCAGACTAACACGGCTACATTTCTATTACTTTTGTTTGTTAGAAGCTGAGAAAAGGTGACAAAGGGATGGGTCACTTGATGTTTCTGTTCATTCCTTCTGGGGTACCTGGCAGTGGCCATGGTGGGTAGACAGGGCACTGTGCTGGATGGACCTTGGCTCTGACCCAGTCAGGCTGTCCTTTCATTTCTCTGATCTGTTCCTGGGAAGGTCATGCTTTCCCTCCTTGGCTGGTTCCCTCCGACCCGTGGCCGGTTCTGCTGAGAGCCAGCAGGGCATGGCAGGGATACTTGAGATGTCCGGTGTTGTGTAAACAGGTTCTGGGCTAGATCTTGATTCCCAGAGGGGAGGGGATGCCCTGCTAGGTCCCTCTGGCTTGCAGCTGCTGCCCCCTACGTTGGGCCTAAGCAGCTGCCCTATGGGGTGTAGATTCTAGTGGGGGAGGGGGCACTGGGCTGAGGAAGTTGTACACCTTCCTGTACAAGGGGCTATACCCTGTTCATGGAGAACTGCTCCACCTGCTCACTCCCAGTCTCTGGTCTGTCCCCATAGATTCTCCTGGGAATCTTTTTCAATGTGCACTCAGCTGTTCTCATCGAAGATGTTCCCTTCACAGAGGAAGATTTCAAAGAGTAAGTGCTTCTAGGGGGCACTGGATCCCACTGTCCCCCAGGAGGGGACTGGCTGGCTCATTGCTGTGTGCAATGAAGCAAGGGCCTGTCCCCTTTAGGGGGTGCTGGCTTCCATCCAGCCTAGGGCAAGGACTGGCTGGCTCAGAGGGTGGGAAATGAAGTGCCAGCTTTGGGACTGACCTTCTACCTCTTCTCCCCCCGCCCCCCTCCAGCGGCCCGGAGAGGATCTACCATCTCTACGAGCAAGTCAGCTATAACTGCTTCATCGCAGCTGGACTCTACGTGCTGCTTGGGGGTTTCTCTTTCTGCCAGGTCCGGCTGAACAAGCGCAAGGAGTACATGGTGCGCTAGGACCTGCCTGAGCAGCTGCCCCCACCTGGACCTGCCCTATTTATTATAGCCCCAACCCCCTTTTACTTTGGAGTTGCCCTGCTGGGGGCATAGGTGGGGCTCTGCCTAGGCCACACCCATATGGGAGCCCCTTCTTTGCCTGGGCTGTGCCAGGAGGCACCAAATCCCCCTCCTGGTGCTGACCCTTCCCTGAAATGGTAATGAGGGTTGTGTTTCTGTATGTGGGGATGTCATCAGCACCTGTGTGGGGGAGGTGGGGCATGTGGGTTGTTGCCTGCTGGACTGCAACTTCTCTGTGTCTGTCAGATAACAGAATGAGGGAGTGTCATATGTTGTGTTCCCCCAGTAGAGTTGTCTATTTTTTCGCCTTTATGTATCCTGTCCCTCTTCTCTTCTTCCCCCCCTCCCCTTTTTGCCCCTGTGTGAGGGAGGTTTTGTGAGATGCTCAACTTGCTCTGATTGGCTCCTGGAATGGGCTCCTGTGCAATAAACTGGCTGGGTACAGTGCTGGCTGCTGGAGGTCTCTGGTGTGTGTGTGTGCGCGCAGGGGTCAATGGGGTGGGGGGGTGGCTGTAGGGGAGATGGGGGGCTGCAGTCAAGCACCCTTGCTTCTCCCTAGGGCAGAATGGGGGAGATGCTGGGGGGGGGTGGCCATGAGGAAGGGGCGGAGCTACAGGCCTGACGGGTGGAGAGCATTGAGCGGAGTTGGGGCGGGATCGCGGCGCGAGGGCGGGGCCTAGGGGCTGGATTCCAGCGAAGTCCCCAGAAGTCACCGCGCGCCGGGGCCGGAAGTGGTTGCTGTCATCGCGCGCGCTGAATTCCCTACCGGCGCCGCCTTCCCAGGATCCCCCGCGGCGCAGAGTGAGCCCCGGGCGGCCCGGGGGAGGGGCTGCAATGACGTCAGCGTCCACTAAGGTGCCCGGGGGAGGGGCTGGGTTTCGGGGCCCCTCGGGGTGGGGGAAGGGGCAGGGTCCCATAAGGCCGAGGGGCCCGGCCTGCAGTGGGAGAGGTGAGGGGGGGGTATACGGAGGGGAGGGGTTGCGGTAGCTGGGATGGGGGGGGACCCCCGCGGGGGGGTCTCACCATTTTCTCTCTCCCTCGGGGTGGGGGAAGGGGCAGGGTCCCATAAGGCCGAGGGGCCCGGCCTGCAGTGGGAGAGGTGAGGGGGGGGTATACGGAGGGGAGGGGTTGCGGTAGCTGGGATGGGGGGGGACCCCCGCGGGGGGGTCTCACCATTTTCTCTCTCCCTCGGGGTGGGGGAAGGGGCAGGGTCCCATAAGGCCGAGGGGCCCGGCCTGCAGTGGGAGAGGTGAGGGGGGGGTATACGGAGGGGAGGGGTTGCGGTAGCTGGGATGGGGGGGGACCCCCGCGGGGGGGTCTCACCATTTTCCCTCTCCTGCAGGTCGGCGAGATTTTCTCCGCGGCAGGCGCCGCCTTCACCAAGTTGGGGGAACTGACGATGCAGCTGCACCCCGTGGCTGACTCGTCCCCTGCCGGGTAAGGGGGGGAGTTTTGGGGTCTTTGGGTGAGGAGCAGGGCAATTCAGCCCCGCACGGGGGAGCAGGTGCAGGAAGGAGCCCGAGTGCGGGGGAGGGTGGCCTGGCCCATGTCCCCCCCCAGGGCCAAGTGGACAGAGACGGAGATCGAGATGCTGCGGGCGGCTGTGACGCGCTTCGGCGATGACCTGAACCGGATCAGCGCCATCATCAAGGACCGGACGGTGTAAGGGGGGGCACGGGGAAGGGGGGGACCTAGGGTCAGTGCAGTGCAGTGATTCCCCCTCCGTTTTCTCTCCATCCCAGGGCACAGATCAAAGCCACGGCCAAGCGTAAGGCCTATGAGGATAGCGGGGTGCCCCTGCCTGCTGACTCCCCCAAAAAGGGCCCCAGAAAGGGTCATGCACTGGGTGGAACGGTGGCAGGGGGAGCACCCAACCTGCCCCCTCCTAACCAGGCACCAGTGCCTGCTGGGCTGCAGGACACGCCCACCCTGCCCATGAAAAAGCAGAAGGCATCAGGTAAGAGACACCTCTCAGGCTTCCCTCCAACAGGCTGGGGAGGGTGGCTGTCCTGGAGTGGGGATCTATAGAGGGTGTCCTGGGATGGGGGGGCAGTCTGTCAGCTGATGTGGAGCAGTCTGTGGATGGAGGTGCCAAGGGGTGGGGGTTGAGCCCTGTGCTCACAGCTGACCTGTCCCAGCCTCTCTCTCACCCCTCCCCGGCAGACGTGACGCTCAGCGCCCTGAATGACTCAGATGCCAACAGTGACCTGGTCGACATCGAGGGGCTGGGCGACGCTCCCCCCGCCAAGAAACTCAACTTCGACCAGGGTATGGGCTGGGGGGGTTGCACTGTGGGGGACAGGAGCTGGGAGTTGTGGAGGTATGGGCAGAGGGACAGGTTCACCCAGGAGGCTGTGTGTGCTGGGAAAGAGGGGTATTTGGGTGTAATCCCCAGGGTATGGGGATCAGGTGTGGTCTCTGAGCTGGGGGATAGCTCTGCCCTTTTCCTCTCCCTGCTGCATTCCACTGGGAAACACACCCAGCTCTACATCCACCCTGGTGGGAGATAAGTTCACTCTTACCCTTCCCTGGAGACCTGGGTGTGTCTGCCCATCTCCCAAAGCCAATGGGATAGAGACACTGAGATTTTCCATCAGAACCTGGGGTGTCTGCGCCTTGAATCCTGCCTGCAGACATGGGCAACACCACTTGAAACTAGCCTACTGGCAAAGGATCAGGGAAGGGCAGCCCGGCTGATGGAGCGGGCAGGCTGGCTCCTGTACAAGGAGTTCATCAGACTGGGACTTCTCAGCTTGGGAAAGAGACATCTCGGGGAATGTGAGAGAGGCCTGTAAAACCATGAGGGATGTGCAGAAAGTAGATATGGGAAGGTGTAAAGGACATTTCCTCGACACAAGGACCAGGGGTCACCCCATGAAATCAATAGGCAGCAGGATTAAAGCAAACCAAAGGCAGTAGTTCTGCACACCACGCACAGTCTGCCAGAGGTTGTTGTGAAGGCCAAGACTTGAACAGGGTTAAAAAAACAGCTAGATGAATCTATGGAGGGTGGGTCCGTCAATGGCTACTAGTCAGAATGGGCAGGGATAGCATCCTAGCCTTTGTTTGCTTGAAGCTGAGAATGGGCGACAGGATGGATTGCTCTGTTCTGTTCATTTTCTCTGGGGCCCCTGGAATTGGCCCTGCCCCTGGGCGCAAGCTATGTCTCCTTCAGTCTTTCTCTGTACTCTCTCTCCCTCTCTCAGACAGTCTGACCCTGGACTCCGGGCTGCTGATGACACCTGGTGACCTGCCCCTGCTGTCCCGCTGAGACACCCCTCTGCTAACGGACGGATGGTCTAGGCCCCTGACTTGGGGAGGCAGGGACTCCCTGTGAGTGGGAGAGGAGTCCTGCCCATTTGGGGGGAATCCCCCCCCCAGTCATGCCCATATATGTTGGGACCGCAGGGCAGGGGAGGGTGGGGTGGGGCAGGGCTGCTGGGAGGTGTCACCGGAGTCCTTGCTTCCCCCAATCCTGGGCTGACCCCTCTCAAGTGACTCCCTCTTTCCACTGCTTCCCCTTCCTTGTGTTTGTTTTCTACTTTAAATAAAAGTGATTGACCCCGACCCCACCCCCACCCCTGGGTGTGTCTTGTGAGTTGTTGGGGAAGCGCTTGGGGGTGCTGTGCTCAAGGGAGCAGGGTGGAGGTTCAGTGGGGGTTGCTGTACTGGGCATAATGGGATGGGGGCTGGGTGGTGATCAGGGGCTCAGCTGGGAACTCTATGCTGAGGCGAAAAAGGACCCCTGCCCTGGGGAGATGTCATGTGACATCAGCTCTTCCCTGCCCCCCTCTCCCTGGACATGGCAGCAGTTCCCCCAGAGGGAGCCATTCTCTCTGATGGAGGATTTGGCAAGTCTGCACAGGGGCTAGGCTCTTCAGGGGGTACTGGGAGTTAGGGATTAATAGGGTTGCCAGGTGTCCAGTTTTAAACCAGACAGTCCAGTATTTGAGCTTTCTGTTTGGGAAACAAATTGAGGAAATAGAACTGTCTGGTATTTCCTAAATAAGATGTAATGTAGATTGTGATGGAATGTCAAGTGTGTCTGGTATTTTTGTTGAAACCATTTGGCAACCCTAGGGATTGAGGAGAAGTCAGGCCTCGGGCCATGCCCAAAGCCACTCCCAGCCAGAAGCCAGATCTCCAAGTGGGATGTGGTCTCGAAGCCCCAGGTTGGGGGCTGCACTCAGTTGGCAAACCACTCCCCTCTCCAGCCACGGGCCAGGGACACCCCCCCCCCCCCGAGTACCATTTCTGGGAGCTTCCCCCACTCATACTTCAGCCTCAGATCTGCTGGCAGGTCTCCCCAAGCCCCTTTTATCATCTGCACCACCACCCGCTTGTCTGCGTGAGAGACACGGGCCCAATCCTTGGCTCCCGTCCTGCATCACTCCCAGGGGTGACTGAGAGACGCTGAGGCAGCGGGTGGCATGATATGAATCCTGCTGGCTTTGTCACTGGGCAAGGCCCGCCTAAATATCAGGGTGCAATCCAGGCTGGAACCAGCTGAGAGCTGCATGATTGGGCAGAGGGGAAAGCGAAGGTACAGCCTGGCTGAGCCCCCCCCCCATTTACCTCCAGCAGGGCATGATGGGTCAACTACCTGGGTTGCCCCAGACTGGCAGGATGCTGGACAGGTGGAGCAAGAGCCCAGGGGCCAGTGGGGACGCCCAACCCCATGAAGCAGAGGGGTCAGGCTTCTGCACGCTCTGAAAGGGTAAACTGAGGCAGGGAAGGCCCTGTGGGGCTGAGTGAGAGGGCGGACAAAGCAACTTCCTGCCTGGAAGGAGCCAATAGGGGTGGGGGTACAGCTACGCCTTGGATCTGGCTCTGTGATGGAGGTGCTGCTGATAGAACCCCATAAAACTAGGCCGAGGGTGTCCCTGGCAGGAAGTACGGGCTACCTCCAACTCAACGCCGGGTGAGGGGTCCCTATGTAACCAGCTGCCCTGCCCCGGAGGTGGCTGCATCTCAGCTCTGGGCGAGGGGTCCCTGTGTTACCTGCTGCCCTGCCCCAGAGGTGGCCCTGGGTAACCAGCCACCCTGGGCTGCATTGCAGGCCCCAGCAGGCACAAGCACATGCAGATTCCTGGTTTTTTAACCCTTTATTGTTTTGCTGTTGCCCCCAGTCAACCCCCCCCCAGTTGCAGGCGGCTGGGTCCAGTGGCGCGTGGCCCGGCCCCGCTGGAGCAGCACAAGGAAATACTGGCAGGCAGGCATGCCCAGGACGCTGCCAATATTTATGTGCTGCTGGAGCGGGACAGGCACGGGGGTCTGATGCTGGGCTGGTGGCGTGTGTGTATGCGTGTCACTCCATGGCCACAATCCCGGCCCGCGCGGTAACATCACAAAATGGTTTGTGCATTCAGAGCTCCAGACAAACCATGATGTGCTGCTGGGGCGAAGGCTGGTGGGAGAGGTGTCCAGGCCCCACCAGACTGGGGTGGGGACTGCATCTGCAGCAGAACAAGCACAGCCTGCTTGGGATGGGGGGGGGCAGGTGGGCTGGAATCCAGGGTCAGACCGGATTTTTTTTGGGAGGGGGTGTTCTTCCACCACATAAGGGGAGGTGGGGGGACTAGGTGGGGGTCCATTGCTGGAGGGGGTGAACGAGGGGGCTTCCAACTCTGCATGTGGGGGAGTCACCACGGTGTTCACCCTCCCACACCAATTCCCACCCAATTCAAAATGGAGTCAGGTCCTAGTGAGAAAATGGAGAGTTTTCCCAGCAGTCTCTGGGGCCACCTCTTGACATCAGGCTCCCCCCCCCTTTAAGACGTGGCCCTTTTCCCCACCCAGGTAAAAAAGCTCTGCTCTGAAGGGTTAATTTTATCACCCTTCTCTCCATAAAACCAGAGCCCAATGCAAGCCCCCTCCATCCTGCATGACGAGGGTCCCCCTCCAGCAAACACAGCAAATCCCCCTGCATCCAGGGAGGTGCGTGTGCAGGGTGGGTAAACAGTTGAAAATGAGGGTGGGAGGGTAGAACCTCACAATGGCTCCCTCCCAAGCACCCACCACCCATCGGTCATTTTGTCTCTGTCTTTGTCAGGGTGTGACAGAGCAGACCCCTCCCAGTGCCCACCTCTTCCCAGCTGGGGTAAAATCAAGGGCCCAGATCTCCCCACTCCAATCTCCCCCCCTCCTGTGAGTGGCTTACAGCCTGGCCTGCTTGCTTGGGGTACATGACCCAGGGCAGCAGTTCACACCAATACATGGCACCCAGCCCCCCCAAACCTGAGCCCCTCCCAGCTATGCTCCCCAAACTACAGTGCATGCACCAAGCCGTGCAGGACAGGAAGCCAGATTGATGCTCCGCTCATGTATCCCCATTTGTTTCCCGTTTGTCCCCATGCAAAAATATACACCCCCCCCCACACCTTGTGCCTGGCTCATTCGCCCCCTGGCCCAGAGCCCCAAAGCCACGACAGGATTTCAGGGGGGCAGCCAGGCCGATGCCAGTGGAGCAGTGCTGTCTTGTGTAAATCTGGGGAGATTTAAGCAGTCCCTTCCCCGCAATATGCCTGGGCCTGAGTGGAGCCAGCTGCCACACCCTGGAGCAAACTGGGGGTGACACAGGCAGAAATGGCACCTGTATCCCCAAATGTCAGGACAAAACCCCTCCCCCCATGTCCAGGCAAATACTGAGTTTTTCTTCCTAAAAAAAAATCCTGGGGGGGGGAGGGGGAGGGGAGGAACGGGCTTTTGGAGCCAATCACTTCTGATCCTCCTCAAGCTATTTGGGGTGAGCTGGGCTTTTTTGGGGGGGTGGTATCATTTAACTTGCTGCCACAATTCAGGGGCCAGCCCTGCACAGCAGCAGGGGGAGGGGTGCAGTTTACACGTGTTGCTGCCACTTTGGGGTGAGCCCCCCGGGGGAGTCATTGAAAGAGTCATTCCAAATGGTGGTAGAATTGTGCCCCCCCCGCCCCAGCTACTGCAGGCCCCTCAGAGGGTTTTTTGGAAGCTGTTGCCCTGGCCTGTCTGCAAGAAACCCCAGGACATGGAGGCCTATCAGGCCTTGGGCCGATTCGGGGCTGGTGGCGCTGGTGGGTTTTTCTGGAAAAATGATGATTTTCTGGTTGTGATTCGGGGTGAGACCAAATCTGGGGCCCCTCAGGCCAATGTCTGTCCTCTTTCAAGGGTGGTGGTCCCTTGATTCTAAAGGATTTGGGGGCCCAGCGCCAGGAGGTTTTCGCAGGCACGATTCTGGGTTTTCGCCGTCATTTTGGGGGGCCGATCCTCCGTCTTTTCCATCTGTTCACTTTTCGATGCCTCTGCCCCCCCTCCGGTGCTTTGTTCGGTTCCTGTTTGCCCCCCATACAAAAAAAACACTGGGGGTGTTTCGCTGCCGGCAGGTTTCCCCACTGCTGGGTGGTTTGTTGTTTTTTTTCCTCCCCTTGCACATAAAAAAAAAAAAAACCACCAACCCAAATCCCAAGCAAGCAACACAGCGGCATCCTCACTTGCACACACCCTGCAAGCGGAGCAGGAGGCTCCCCTGGTTTGGTCTGTGCCAGGTGGGGAGCTGTGGCCCCCCGCCACCCGGCCGGGGGCCGAGTTTTGTATCAGCTCCTTTCTTAGCCCTGACAGATACTCGGGGAGTTGGGTGGGGTGCCACCGGGCGCCCCGGGACAAACAAATCCAAAGCCTCTGGCAAAAAATAAAATAAAAATCAGTATCCATCTGGGGAGGGTTGGGAAAAAGCCCTCTATGTTCTGCCCCACTCTGGGCACAATGGGGCAGGTCCCCTTTCCAAAGCCACCCTCCGGCGGCTGTGCACTCCTGCTTGGTCGGGGGGGGTGCATAGAAAGGGGGATCCCCTCCCTGGGTGCCCCCCCCCCGAGCTGCAAGCCCTTTTGGTGCAATTGTGCAGAGGGAGGGGAAAAAAAACCTAGCCCGGGTGAGCAGCAGAGGTTCGGTCTTTTTCCCCCCACGCAACTTTCTACACTTGAATAAACCCCCTTGGATGGGCAGGAAAAATCCGCAAAAAATTCTCAGTGCAGCCCCGGGGCCCCCCTGAAAGTGTGTGAAGTTTGGGGGCAATTGGCCCAATGGGGCGCTGAGGAAAAATTCCCCTTTGCACGGCTCCGGCCCGCGCCAACACGAACGTCCCCAGCTGACTTTGTCACGGTGCCAACTCTGAGCGACTTGGCAGGCTCTGGCGCTTTGCAAACGGCTGCTTTGTCTTCGCGCCCCTTGTGCCCCCGCAGTCCCTCACCGTGCGGGGACCCCCCCACACACCCTCCAGCCTCCCCTCCTCTGCCCTGGGGGGCACCCTCTGCCCCTTCCCCCCTGGGAGCCCTGTAGGTCTGGGGGGGGGGAGGGTCTGATTTGTACTGTGCACACTCCAACTCAGCCGCTGCGGCT